ATAACCTCCAGTTTTTACTGTACTTATAAAATTTCTTACCGACCCCCATTAAAGTAATATCTTCCAAAAATATTTTCCTAATTATTCCATACCAGATTTAATCATTATGGTCCACTCAATATTTATATAATATCTCCTTATATGCATTTTACTATAGTGTTAATTAACATACTTGAATTCAGTCAGTGATATTAATTTCATTGCTAATTTCACTCAATTCCTAAATTTTGCCATGTTTTCTGTACTAGCTTGTAAACTTAAGGTAGAGACCATGCTTCCTTCTCTCTTTATATGACTCCATGGTGCCTAAATACCCAGTGGGACTGGAGAAAGACTAACTGATGGCAATATGGAGTATGCAGCTTGATTTCATACGTGAAGTAGACACCAAAAAATATTTGTTTTAAGGAATGTGTCCTTGACCCCTAAAGAAATTAGTATATGTCCTGAACTATTTTTTGTTGTTGTCTTGGTATAATAAACTGCTATTATTCCTTAATTTCCAATCTCAGAATTTTTTCTAACTCTCCCACTGTCCCTTCACTCATCTTAAAATGATATAGCTCACAGTTGGTATAACAGATGAAACAGGAAACTAATTAGCAGCTGTTGTCCATCTGTGTGTTTATATTAAATATTTTAAAATAAAAGTGCATTTGCATCCTGAATGCTCTGTCTGAAATCCATAAAATCTAAACGTGGGTAAAAACTCTATCTTGGTTTTGAATTTTATAGTAGACTTCATGGTAAAGAAAAGAAAACTATGCCAGAATCAGGACTGTGGTAATTTAAAGCAGATACAAATTTTAAAAAGGAAAAAAGCCTGAACTAAAAGTGAGTCTCCAAAGCCTACTGCAAAGATATCATTGATATATTCCTTCACAGAGACTGATCCATACATAAAGTTTTGAGAAAGCCACATTCATTCTCTGATAGATTTAATTTGAGTTATACTTCTACTTTCTCTTTTATCTGCCTTTCTTTTAAATTTAAGCTTCTTTGACATCTGATTAAGTTAGAATTCTAGGGAGACTGTTGTTATTGTCGGTAGCCATATCCCAGGTTGAAGGTGAATGTTAGAGCTTTGCAAAGAAAAATTGCTGTTTGTGTTTTTTTTTAATGCAAGTCAAATAGATGTTCTTGATGTTCAAAAAGTGAAAGGGAGAAAAGTATAATATACAAGATGATTATTATATTGCAATACTCTAGTCCATTTTGCCCTCTATGCTCCAGTCTATGTACTAGTATGAAGAGAAAATAGTTGCTGTATTTATATAAATTTCATTATTTCCATATAATCACAGTATGTTAGAATTGAAAGGAACGTCTGATGTTAGCTAGTCAAATCTGTCACTATTGGAGGTGTTAGAGAAAATTCCTAACTAGCCATCCGGTTTTTGTTTGATGCTTTTCATGAGAAAGATCTTATTTGCCTCATGAGGTAGCACATTTTATTGTTGGATGGCTCTTATGATAAGGATTCTTTCCATTTCACTGAGCCAGTCTTTATCCCTGTTTCTTCCATCCATTAGTCCTAATTCTGCCCTCTGGAGCAATACCAAATAAATTGACTCCCTATTATATATGACAAGCTTTCAAAGAAAGTACTATTTATGTCTATATAAATATTAAATAGTATCTTCTCTTCCATCCACAGACAATATTATTGCCCATAATATTATTACAGTTGTAATAATTGTACACTATTCATTCCCAAATCTACTGTGGAGAGATGGCATAGAGGCCAGGGTTTGTTCAGTTCATTTGTTGAGTTCCTACAATGTGTAGAGATTTAGAGAGGCAATCAAGGAGCCTAGATAAATGAGACCCTGTCTTGTGAGGCAGTCATATATTACTAGAGGCCCGGTGCATGAAAATTCATGCACTGGAAGGGGGGTCCCTCAGCCCAGCCTGCCCCTTCTCATAATCGAGGAGCCCTCAGGGGTGGTAGGCGACCCAGCGATCAGAGGTGCCCCATCACACCTCTGCTGCTGCCGTTGCCTGCAGTGCAAGCCTTGGGCGGCCCTGGTTACCTGAGCCTCGGGCGGCCCTGGGCGGCTGGGGGATGAGGGGACTGGGGGTCTCAGAAGGCAGGCCTTGTTGTGCGCCTGCCACCCAGCATGGCAGAAGGGACTGGGCACCACCATCTTGTGGTTATGGGCACCACCATCTTTGAGGGTGTGGCAGTCAATTGGCATATTCCCTCCTTATTGGCTGTGGGTGCTGCCATCTTTGAGGGCGGGCAGTCAATTAGCATATTCCCTCTTTATTAGATAGGATTGTGTCATCTTCATAAATTTTACTTTTTCCAACTTGTTGCTTCTCTTTATTCTTTTTAGTTCTTTTACTTGAAATTCCACTTTGACATTAATATACCACTCCTACTTTTTTGCTTATTTGCATTTGCCTCCTGGTATCTTTTTGCCCTACCCTTACTTTCAGTCTTACATCTTCAAGTGTATCTCTTATAAATAACATTCAAATGGGATTTGAGCTAAAGAGAAAAAACCCTCAATCTTGCATCTGCCTTAAGTTACTGTAACCCTGATCCTGGCATAAAGTTTATTTTGCTTTACCATACCATGAAGTTTGCTATAAAAACATCCCTTGATGTTTTTCTTTCTTTTCTGTTTATATTTATCTTAAGCTTTATGTTTACTATTTATACAGCTTTATTATTTCTTCACTATCCCCCTCATGATTTCCTTCTAATGTCTAATATTCATAATCAAATATATATTTTTCCACTATTATATTTTTAAAGGATGCTAAATGTATCCCTCTTTTAAGACATCCCCATTTCTTCTATGTACCCCCTACACCAGTGAGACCTTTAGAATACTTCCCCCATCTCCTCCTACCCCATCAACTTTTAGGTAGTATTGCTGTAACCATGCTCTTAATTATAGGCTGTTAAGTTTTCTTTTGTAGTATATCTCTCTAATTTCTAGGGAAATTCACATATAGTACATATATTATAATTCCTCAGTTTATTTGATCATTGTATATTAGATTTACCTATATAGTTCTATAAATATGTGTGTGGCTCACTAGCATTTCCTCTTTCCTTGCCCTATCTTGAGATCTCTGACCTGATTTATTTTTTCAGAGCATTACTTATTAATTTATTATCTGAATTTTTGCATTTTCACAAATATCGTTCTTCTATCCTGATGGGTGAATGCTGTCTGACTGGATATACGATTTGGTAGTGGCAAGCCTTTTTTCTCAGAATATGTTGATGTTAATCTTCTGTTTTATAATTTTTAGTATTGTAGGTAAGAAATCCAAAACCAATATTCTCTTTTTAGTAAATAAAATCTTACTGTCTGACAGCTTGTAAGATTTTCTCTTTATTCTTGAAATTACACAATTTTACCAGGACATTTATATATATAAATATATTCAACCTTGCCTAGAATTCAGTAAATCTTTAATGTTGTAAGTCAATCTCCATTAGTGCTTTAATTGTTTGTTGTTGTTAAAATTATATATTTCCTTGAGTAGTTTTATTTCACAATGCGCTAGCTATCCTAAATAGTATGCTTACGCTTCCACATCCCATTGTTAGTTCTAAAATTGCTGGTATTTTCCTTATCTACTGAGAGATCTATTTGCCCCCAGCCCTCAGGAAGCTGCTACAATACTGAGGACCTGATGGGAATGGAGTTGTAGTAGAAAAGAGGACCACAAGTGGTAAAAGGCACGGAAATCACAACTCCTGAATTGGCAAAGCTCCAGTGGCAAGCTGCCACTCTTCTGTTAAAGTAGGAGGGGAAAAAAGCCTTTTTGCTCCCTGAACATTTAGTTGTAGAAGTTTGGGTTTTCCCAGCCTTTCAGGATAGGGCAATGTGGGTAATTTTTAGGCAGACTTCCAGGTCAGCTTAAAAATGATACCTTCCAGGTCAACTTAAAAATAATACCTTGAAGCTAAATGGATCCCAATTAGCTTTAAGTGCTTTATGTCAGTGAATGTTAGAGACAGAAAGGATCTAGTCTAAATGTTCTCATATTGCAAATAAGAATAATGAGACCCCAAAATGATATTAGTTTTTCAGTCATCTCAAAAGTAGAGGCAAAATTGGATTCTAGACCTTGTGACACTTAGGGCTTCAATTAACCGTTCTATTTTCTGTCACCTAGTATTTAAATTTTTAGCATTTAGTACTAAATCAACTCTCTTATAGAATACTTTCATATAATATTTGGCACTCTATATCTAAGAGAACAATGGATAGGTACTTAATTTAAGTGAAAATGGATATAAAGTGTTAGTAAATTAAGATTAATATTGGTATTTGATTTATTTTTAAATAAATGATTAATCATCGTCCAAATCTAATTAAAACTGTGATTGTTACTAAAGGCAGAATTAAATATCACAATATCTCTTTAAGATCTGCTGCCTTTGAGAGAAGGGATGCTACTCATATATACTTAGGACAGTGGTCAGCAAACTGCGGCTCTTTGGCCTCTTGAGTGTGGCTCTTCCTCAAAATACTGACTTCTGTGCATGGGCTACGAAGTTTTAATCGCACTGTACATGAGCGCCCCCACATGGTATTTTGTGGAAGAGCCACACTCAAGGGGCCAAAGAGCCACATGTGGCTCGCGAGCCGCAGTTTGCTGACCACTGACCTAGGAGGCTTTATCTTACATCCCCTTTGTGGCAATGGTGAGAAGATATCTCAAAATTTTAAAGTACAGATTATTTTTCAATCATCACAATTTGGCATACACAAATACCTCATCATTTCCCCTTATTATGTTACCCTGTTAGAGAAAAAAGAAGAAAACCGTGTGAAAGTACCAGTAGCCATTACTTCTGCTCATAATTCTTTCTCTATAATAAGAGTTATGCTCCTGTCGGGCAGAGACCCTTTAATTCCTACTTTGTACAGAATATAGTGCTGTGCTCAGGTTAACGCCTACTCAGTGAGTAACATGGTTTAGTTTAAAGTGGGCACTATATCTAAAACCTTTTCCTTGTGTATTAATGTGTTTGTCTTTGTTTTTTCCAGCCCAGATGACTTACTCAATGCCTTGAATGAGGGTATCAGTCGTGCTGATGTCATCATCACATCAGGGGGTGTGTCCATGGGGGAAAAGGTATGAAAAATGGGGATCATGAAAATTTATCCACTACAATATCTTTGCATGCAGTTGATTAACTGTGATCTGGTAGTGCTCTGGGGTATAACGAGACCCCCACAAAGCTAAAAATCCATGGGGCTTCAGAAATTTCTGGGCATACAGAAAGGAATGCTGTCTAGGTCAGAGAGCTTACCTCAGAAGCAGCATTGAAAATCCCACAATTTGCATTATGGTTTTCATCTCCCCCTGGAGATTTCTAGCTTTTTGCTCAATCAACCTTAGTACATTAGGACTTCTTTTATATGTAACTAGTGGCCTGTTGCAGGAAGATTCCTGCAAGAATAGGGCTTCCTACGGCTGCCCCGCTTGCTTCCCTCCCGTCTCTGCCGCCCGGCTTGCTTCTCCGCAGCTTCGCTCCCTTCTGCAGCACTTAGCTTCCTTCTACACTGTCTTCAGTCTTCACTCTGTGCCTGCGTATGCAAATTAACCACCATCTTTGTTGGGTTGGTTTGCATAGTTGCTCTGATTGGCTGGTGGGCATAGCAAGTATATTTGCATATGGTATATGCTTACCCCTGTAAAATTACAATTTGAATATCTCAGTATCATTAAATTTATATATATGTCTAAATGAAATGTATTGGTCCATGATTATTATTGGATCCATTGAATAATGTTATAAAAGTGAAATATTCTTTACTACGATAACCAATCTTATGTTTGGCACAATAACATTTCAGATCACAAAATAATTTACAAATGTATAATTCCTTCCATGTTTTTTTAAATCTCATATTAATGACTGAACTGAAAATTATAAAAATATTGTCATAAGAGCAACTTTTGCTAAAATCATATTTTCCAAGAGCTTGATTTATTTTTAGCTAGACCTTTTGTATATGATTGTTCTTGGTCCCTGCACTCACTAGCTATGAAGCTGCCTTAATCCTTAACCTGACTCTTTGGACAGTGAATTCTATAGGCTCTGAGAACAAATGTCAGAATACAGTAGCCTGAACAAAGAATGCCTGCTTTCATTCCCAACTTTAGTTTTAGAATGTTTAAGAATAGCAATTCAGATGCTAAAGCCAATGAAGAAAAAGAGAGGATCTCAGTCCAAGACTACCATCGCAAATGACATCCAAGAGGAAAGCTATTAAAATGTAGGTAGGTATTCTCCTTATAGCAGACAGTTTGCTGGGTTAGTCTTCCTTCAAATCTCCTAGGAGTCTTCAGTCCTGGTATAGCAAATTACTGCAGACCTCCTGAGATCACAAAGGCTAGGGTTAAAGTCTGCATTATAGTAGACCAATAATGTCTGTTTTTATTATCATCAAACTGCCTGTGGTGTTCCGAGTATCACAAGAGCAATCCTGAAGTTGAGTACTTAAATATTAAATTTGTTATTCCCAGGGAGTGTGTCATGTATAACTTATCTTGGTTATTAATGAACTTAACTGTAGGACAATAATTATTTGTCAGACCTAAAATTTGTCTTTCCTAATACTTCTGAAGAGGCAACAAGTTTATAACTAACAAAGATGTCATTTATCCTAGGGATACCCTCACAATAAAACAGAGCCAATATAGTACGGCCTATTAGTTTTCTTTATAAAGGAGCCAATGAAAAATGACTCTTTCAGATAAAATCTCTCCTCACCGCTACCTCCCCCTGCTTCATATTCTAATAACACTAGAGGCCCGTTGCAGGAAGATTCCTGCAAGAATAGGGCTTCCTACGGCTGCCCCGCTTGCTTCCCTCCCGTCTCTGCCGCCCGGCTTGCTTCTCCGCAGCTTCGCTCCCTTCTGCAGCACTTAGCTTCCTTCTACACTGTCTTCAGTCTTCACTCTGTGCCTGCGTATGCAAATTAACCACCATCTTTGTTGGGTTGGTTTGCATAGTTGCTCTGATTGGCTGGTGGGCATAGCGGAGTGATGACCAACTTGTATGTTTCTCTTTTATTAGTGTAGATATTTACTCCTAAGTTAAAACTCTAAGATCCTTCCTTCTACCTAAATTTAAATTACAGATGACCTCGCCACCCCCTCCCTCATATTTCAAACCTGGTTGCCCACAAGGTAAAAGGAGAAGATTAGGTATTCCTTTGCCCCACTTGAAAAATAGTCATAATCAAAATAATGATGAAAATAAAATACAAACATGGATATATATAT